ATACGATACTTTGTAAATGCTACCGCATCGATTTGCGTGCGATGTGTGTCAAGTAGATGCAATCGCGGAGCAGCAATGGAATCGATTTGCCTGCAAATTAACGAATCGGATATGCTGTGAGATCGCTGCGGGCGCTACTTTCTACCCTTTTGACTATAGTTTATGCAATATTTATTTTTATTTCTTTTCGACTTTTATGAAATTCAAATTGAGCCGAAGCAGATGCGCACGCCTCTTAAAGCAGGAAGTAATTTCTGTTGGGTGGGCATCATAAGGCGGCTAAAACTATGAAGAAGAAAAATCGAATTAAACTGATGGCGTAGATCGCTGACAAAAATCATTGCCACAATTAACCGTTGAAGAAATACCAACTTGTCAAGGGCAATCAGTGTGACAAAGTCAAAACCACGTTCGCCTCTGCCAGCAACTGTTGCTGATGTCTCTGGGCTCATTGATCATGTCGCCAGCGCGTCCCTGACGATGATGAGCATAGGAAACACAAAACGACATGTCAACTATAACCACCCATCGATCGACGACGTTTTGCAATGACTGCAACAACCAGCAACAACAACAATTACAACTGCAACAGCAACAACAATTACAACTACAACAGCAACAACAATAACTAGTAACGACAAGTAACAACATTTATCAACGCTTGGCGATCTACAGCAAAAGCCAAAAGGCACGATGCACAGCTTTAACTGAGCAACAAAGAAACAGAGATGAGCAAGAATCCCTACTTAGAGAAACTTCCTCTAGCCCCAAGCATCACAAATAATATTGATCTATATTTTAGAACTGCTTTAGCTATGTAAATGCAATGGGCTCCTATGCTAAGCAATGCCTAAATATTAAATGGATTTTAAAATGTTATTTCTTTATTTTGTATTTGTATTAAAATCTGATCGCCATTAAAAATAGATATTATGTTTACTCTAAATACCAACAGATAATATGGAGTAACAGTATTAGTAAATTAAATATAAATATAATTAACTTATGTCAATTATTTATTTTTTCAAGCACTTTTCCAAGCTTACACACAGTATATTTACCACGACACGCTGTCATCCCTGTGCCAAGATATCTGGCAACAAGTTGATGGGGCATTCTGGAGATCAGACTGGGACAGGGACTGCAACTGGGATTGGAGCTGACTGAACGACTTGCACTTAGCGACTACTAACGCCAAGCTTGTTGTTGGGTCATGTAACTCGAGGCGCTGGGCCTAGAACCTTATGCGGTCTGTGGCTGTAGCTTTACAGTTAAGGTCGCTCACACTGACTAGCTGGCTGGCTGACTAACTGACTAACTGAATGAATGACTGACTGACTGACACTGGCTTAGATCGCTGACAGGTTGGCAGCAACGAGAGAAACGGTACGAACCAATGGGTGTCGGACGCTGCAAGCCTCAAGCATTTGGCATATGCATACTCGTTTACATGGTTGGGGAACTGATGAGTGGAAATCGCATCGGAACAGTTGTCCACGACGTCAAGCGTCGCGTCGTGGCTGCTCTGTCAGCTGTAATTTCTCCATGCAGACATTTGATTTATGCGATGCGATCGAGTGATGATCATCATCGCTCACTTGTCCAACTCCAACGAAATCCTACTATCTGTTGCTCCACATTCGCGCAGCGATTAAGCAATATGTTTTTGGTAATGTTAAGAGTTTAGCAGTGCCAACAGCAGCAGCAGCAGCCCCCACATAAGACACCCGCTTCCCTCGCTGGTTTGGTCTTATCTGGTGATCTCCACTGGCGGGGGTTACGAAATCTGAATCCAAATCGAAATCGAACGCGAATCGCTGCGCTGACTTGCGCTGGAGAGTTACCAAGATTAATGTTGATGCTTTTTCAATTACAACTCTGGCAGCATACAAATTTGGAGTAAAACGTAATCGTCGTAATCTCAGACGTCCTAAACGACGACAACTACGACTCCCAGCTCCAGCACCAGCTCAAGCACCAGCACCAGCACCAGCTCTAACCTGGCTGGCTCTGAGTGACTGCCTAAGTGGCTGCTGTGGCTCTGACTCGTATTCGTATTGCATTTCCTAATGTTTGTTTTCCATGAGCTTTTTCGTATAGTTTTTTCTGTGTTTACCCTGTAGCCATTAAAAATGTGTTAAATGGGTATCAGGTCGTTGTGCAAGTGTAGATATCAGGTATATGGCTTAGCATTAACGGAGGAGTCGATCTACCAAGATCAGATACTGCTTATAAAAATTCAGATTTGTGTATATGACACACAAAGTGATGTGTTTGTATCGCATACACAGATCAAGAATATTTAAGATATTGAATAAAATTTGATGTTTTTCTAACTAATTAACTGATTTAAATGGCATTTTAATTATCAATGTGACAGTTAGACGTTATTTTGAAATAAATAGTGTGCAGATTATTTACAACGAACTTATGATTCTGCTGGGAGCAGGGTATTTCCGAGTAGATGACTTTCGTCTAGATCGCTCTCAGTGGTTGTGTTTCTCGTTTTTGTGCTGTGTGACATGCGCCGCCGCTCACTGATTGCCCGACTTTGTCTCGATCCCGATGCCCGATGCCGATGCCTTCCTCCGATCTCCTTCATGACGGCAATTACAAATGCCGCGACTTGTATCATGGCCAGCCATCGATTTGTATGGCAACGACTCGTATGTTGCTTGCAAATTCGATCGCATCTTGTACCCGATTGAGTCGACTCGGGTTGCTTTGTCAATTGCAATTTGTTATCTGCTCCAAGCTTGGGCAAGGAGCTCAAATCTAAGTGGATCCACTGCCGTCCAAGCTGTAGTTGTAGATGGCCTTTGTCGTTGCTGTTATTTGTAGCTGTTGGTCATTCAATCAAAGGATTTTCATTGTAGCGCCTGACTTTCTGGAAGACGAGTGCCTTTTGTGTGTGTGTGTATGTGTTTCTGCTGATGGCTCTACAATGATTAGCTACGAGATTTGCGGCGGCAGGACAATGGCAAGCAAGAGCCGGGCAAAAGGATGCCGCAACAATAAGCAAACAAAGGCGGCACAGATCACACGGACAGAAGCCAAAAGCATTTAAAATTCAGTTGTGGGTCAGTAGGTGACGCGGCAAGAAGCCAGACAACTGGGCGACAGGTATAATACACTCAGAGAAATTGATATTATTTTCCCAAGCCGAAATAAACTAATAACTATTTAAATCATTTTTGTTTATTTCCATAATTCATAGTATTTTCTTTTTGGTCAAATATTTTATTGATTTAATGCATTCCGCTTTAAGTTTTAATTAAGGATGCCACAAATAATTGCCTTTGGCTTATAGAGTTCCAATTTCTGGTAACTCTGAAGCATCAATGTTTCTCAATTTTCGCTATTAAAGTTGACATTTCTTTAAGTGTATCCCTGCTCTGCTTGAAACTGAAACTGACTTATGTGCATTGTCCATGCGCTAAAGGTATGTGTTTTCTCATAGCGGTACTCCCGTTGTCCCATAGAACAACCTTCTTCCTTTTTGCCAATTGCACAAGCGACGTGCTCTGATTAGCGCGAAAAGGAAAGAGAAAAAATAGTACAAGACATTATTGTCCTTTGTTTGGGTGATTTGTGTGCCAAGGTGTAGTTCTAGGAATGCATTTTTAGTGTGTTATTTATGGCCGAAAGGTGTTGCCATTGCTGCAAAATGTCACTAATGTGTTTGTGACTATACAAAATACATTACTCGTAGATTGTCGCCTGGCAGTTGCTGCTAATCTCTGAAAGGACGTGACTGAAACCTGTATATTGTTACTTTCCTTTTCTTATCAAAATGTACACACGCACACAAATACACAGGTAATAATAATAATCGATTTAGAGCCATTTGCATTATCAAACATTCAACAAATGTTAAAATGTACGATTGATAAGAGGCCCCAGCGCCATTTGTTGGCATTGATATGGCCTAAATGGACAACAAACTACCGTCTGGAGTCTAGAGTCTGGTTTATAGAGTGTACACTGTACGGTATACCGTTTGTCATGTCAATCAGACAGTTCAAATAGTGTTCGATAAGCAGCCGTCGTCGTCGTCCTTTATGGCTACGTCTATCACCTGCGACAGGACGCATGCGCCGAGATCCTTTGGGTAAACAATTGGGCCAAAGGATTGCTGCTGCCAATCAATGGAAAAAAGGACCTGGACAATGCGCAGGAAACGTGCAATGCGAGCATTTCTTGCAGCTAATTAAATATTTACTTTTGTCAAAGGTGCAAAAATGTCTCTGATACGAATTGATGAAATATTAGGGGCGGGTTAAGAGGAAGTGCCTCGATGCACATTGCTTGCCTCCAGAAAGGTGTATTCTGCCAATGCAGGATCTGATATTGTTATTGTAAATGGAAGGAAGAGAGTATTAAATTATGGACACAAATGACAAATGCTGCAAATATGAAATACAATCAATTGAAATATGAGCAGTAGACCAAAGGCGGTGACAGTTTCCCTTTTCAAATTTTTCGGGAAATAAGCTGCAAGATGTGAAAATAAATGTAATTTTTGAAATAATAATCACAAGCATGAATTTCTTTTGTAATTGTTTTTAATTTATTTAAGTTTGTAAAAATATATATGGGCTTAAGAACTATCAAATATGTTAACATAAACATTTGCTAAATATAATTAAAAATGAGTTAATTATACAAGTTTCAGTGAAAACTATGAGCTAAATGTCTGAATTTGGTCAAATGCTGTCTGATAAATTGGGTTGGCAAATGTACACATACTTAAGAGCTAAAAACTGTTAAAAACTCAAATAAATATGATATTAAACTATAATATATAGTAGCACCAAAACCGAAAGGATCTTAATGAGTCTATGAGTCCTGGCTAGATTATTGTCTGCTGGGTAAGCTGTGATCCTCGCCAGCGGAATGTGTCTGCTTTGGTTCGTCTGCGTCTCTGTGGCGCACAGTCAACGTGGCCTCGTCCTTGGTTCAGTTGTTGTTATTGTCATTGTTGTTGGAGCAGATCCAGCTTAGACAATTGTAATGGTACAATTGGAGCTGGTGTGCTTGTTCAACAGGGACATGCGCGAGAAGGACTTGTGGCACACCTGGCAGGCGTACTTCTTCACATCCACGTGGGTCTGCTGGTGGGCACGCAGATTGGAGCGATCGGCAAAAGAGCGCGGGCAGTCGGGGCACTGGAAGGGCTTCTCGCCGGTGTGAGTGCGTATGTGACCCTGAAGCAGCCAGGGTCGGGAGAAGGCCTTGCCGCAGATGGGACACTTGCAGGGAAGTGTGTGGGTGCGGATATGCATCTTGAGTGCTCCGATTGTGGTATAGAGCTTGCCGCACTCTTCGCACGAATGCGGCTTCTTCTCCTGGTTGCACTCGGCAGCGGGACAATGGAACTGACGATGCTTGGACAGGCCCATCGAGGTGGAGTACATCTTCTGGCAGTTGTCGCACTTGTACCGATAGTTTTTGGCGGAGACATTGACGGCGTTGGTGCTGTTCGAGCCAGAGATGTTGGAGGTGGCGGCGTAAGAGTATGCGGCGATGTTGCTGTTGCTGGAGCTAATGCTGCTGCTACTGTGGCTGCTGCTGCGTGTCTCATCGAAGAGATGGAACAGTGCCGGCAGCGGAATGTCATTGCGCACGGAGAGATCCTCCGGTTCGGAGCTGGCATCCGAGCCGGGACTTGATGGTGGCGTCATCTGCTGATAGCTGTAGACCGAGTGTGGCGAGGCTATTGAACTGGCTGGCGATGGGAACGCAGCAGCGCTATTCAAGTGAGGCTGATAGCTGCTCCACAAAGCGGAGATCGGATTGCAGCCAGCGGCGAGCACGAAAGCCGATTGATACGGATTCGTTGTGTAGCCGGCTGTGGCAGCTGTCAAACCGCGCATATGTATATCAGTGGGTTGGTAATCCTGGCTGCTGGACTCCGCCGGTGGCGAGAGCAGCGCCGAGCTGAGCAGTGGTGAGTGAGCACGACGCGGGGTAAGCGGCGTCTTCGATAGATTGAGGACGTATTCACGCTTGGCGGGCAGCTCATAATCCTCAAAGTCAATATCGCTAGCTTTGCGCTTGAGCGAGAGATCCTGTGGCTGCTCCTCCTGTGGCTGGACGGCTGTTGTAGCAAACTGTGAGCTCTTGGTCAAAGCCAAAGCCTCCGTTTGCGGCTGCTCCTCCACGAAGACAAAGGGGCGCTTCTTCAGCGGACAGCTTTTGTAGTTGGCGGCCATGTCGTTAGTTTTGTGAGTTTCAAACGAGATGATTGTTCTTGATGAAGATCGGTAGGTTTGGTAGCGCGTAGTTCCGTAGCACTGATGATTTGTGAGAGTAAGAGATCGAGTATGAGTTTGAGAGTGTTGCTTACTCAACGAACGCTGAGGTTGCTGTGACAGGTCGAGGGCCGAACGAGCTCTTTTATATGCCACGGGCACAACGCTCTCTCGGGGCTGCTGCCTGTCCATTTGGTGGTGGTTCTTCTTCAGTTCACACACTCGCACACACACACACACGCACACACTCGCGAAGGCAGGGCGCACGTGTACAGCGCTAGGTAGCAACAACAACAACACACACACACATACACGCACACTTTTCCCATACCCTTATTGCGTGTTTCCCATTTGTTGTGCTCTCCGCTTGCGTGCTCCTCTCTCTCGCTCGCACTACCTGGCGGTGAAGCTACCTGACAGCTCTCTCAGGAAAACACTCACACTTTGAGAGAATCCCTCTCAAAACCAGCGGGCATCCAACGCAGGCGCACCCTCAGTCCCTATGGCTCAGGTACTGAGGCAAGCTCCCTGCGCTACGATCGCCTCTCGCGATAACTTATGACAGCTTCTCGCTTGTAGCTCTGCTCTCTGTCGACCTCATCGTTCGTTCACAAGCTTCTCCAGTTTCCCCGCACATCCGTGCTGTAATAACTCGTCAAAAAATATACTAACGCTCCCCTCCAGCACTTGGTACGTTCTTGTCAATCTATTGCAGGTATTGTGTCAGCATCCATGGAATTTGAGTTTCGCTTTCAATCGCCTCGTTTCGCCAGCTCTCCGACCATTGAGTTTCTATTTTTATACAAGCGCTGGCATTTTTCACGAGTCAAATTGGATTCCCGAACTTGCCATTGGGGGTAGTTTTTCCACACACACACACACACACGGACACACATCTGCCACAGAGCTGGTGCCTCAAACGGGGGGAGGCAAATTGAACCTGAGCGATGCTGGCATTACAATTGACATTACACCTAGGAATGGAATGGAGTTTTATAAATAGACGCCATGCATCATGGAAACTACTAGCTCTTGGGTACACTTTACACTGAATTATTGTAGCCAACGTTTTAAAGATTACACACTCTCAGTATTTGCTTTCCATTTACTCGTTTACCGAACTATACAACTGATTGCTCTTATTGGGAAGCTTTCCCACCATGTTCCACCTTTGACTTGAGCTTGCCTCGTCGTGCAACATAAACAACCATCCCACATACATTTGATCAAACACTGGAGAGGCGCAAAATTTGTATTGCCCATGTCCTGGCTGGGAAAACAGTTCAGCCCGCATAGCCAAGTTCCCACAATAGTGAAAACTGATTTCCCAGCCATCAAAAAAACCAAATAGCAAGCATATTCCCCATTTCATGCCGTTTCCCAGGCCAATGTGTGAACAGCAAAAAAAACCGAAGCAAATGTAGCAAACCCAACAGTTTTGATAAACCCAAGCGGTGACAAAAAGTGCAAAATTCCAAGTGCTAAAATTCCAATTCCTATCGCGATCACATTCTCAGGCTGACCAATAGCAGCGCTCGACTGTCCATGCCTGGACATGGGTGTGATGGAAAATGCGGCAAGTAAGCAACCCATATTTCGAATTTCGTATTTTCCCTATGATGGATTTCCCTTTTCACATCACTCTGCATCACGGAAAATGTCCGGATGTGGATCAGCATTGGATTTAAAGTAATTTCCCAGCTTATCCAATTACGCAGTCACCAAAACTCAAGCAAAACAAGCAGCGATTGGCCAATCCACAACAAGACGCGGGAATTTCTCCCAGCCTCCCTATACCTGACGGGTGACGGATTCCGGCCATTTCGGTTATTACGTGTGTTATTCCGCACAATTAACAGCGATTGCAACTCTATGCAACTACCTAATGATCACTATGCTAATATCGACGCGGAATTGCCCGCAGGACATCGCCAAATAACCCGCGATTCATTCATCAGGCGGAGAAACCCAGTCACCCGATACAAAAACCGCCTAGCACTTGTCGTCCCGCAATTGTCAAGTACCTGCTGGGATGTGAGCCGTGGTTAGTCCGCTCATTAGCATTAGGTAGAGATTATGGTATCGCGATATTTCCACTAACCGCACTTCATTCATCAGGTAACGCCGCGGGGAAACCCGTTTTTCCCAAAGTAGTTGTACTTTGCCTGATTCCGTTAGGATATTTGCAGGTGCGTCTCTGGGTTTCCAGATCTTGTTTTAGTTTTTGCAGACAATGGACCCATCCCATTTTTGCACCTTGTGTTCCCTGCATTTGTTGCAGCGCACAATAGCTCATGGACCGTATTGTTAGGAGAGTAGACCGGGTCAGCAGCTGAGCAGACGAAATGGAGCGCATAAGGAGTATAGAAATTCGATTTCGCATGTGTACATATTTTTGGAGATCTTACTGGTGTACAACTATACAACTATAAAACTTTTTTTATTTGATCTCTTTCTTGCAGGCGATTTGCAAGTTTTTTCTTATCCACTTCTTTCTACAATCTTCAATATAATTTGCTAAATGGAATATTTATGAGTGTTTTAAGATATTTGCTAAGCTTTTCACATTTTCTACAATTTAAATATCAATATTTATGTCTCCTTGTAATAATGTTGTCCATTTGGCTCTAGTCGAATTGAGAATTCTCTCTCTCTCCCTCAACTGCGATGTGGCCCGGTGCACTGGCACACCTTTTGCCAAAAAAAAAATATAAAAACAGGAGAAAAGAAGGAACTGAAAAAATACCACCAAAGAAAACAAACTATGGTCCAAGATATACGATGTGTGATGTCGTTGACAATGAATGGTTGATTACTACCTATAGACCAGATCCTTGGAACAACTGCAGACCTGACGTCTCTTGTTGTTGTTTTGTTTTTCGCACAGACAAAGGAACTTCCAATCCATAAATCGAAATCGAAGCCAAAGAAAGAAAACAGGGAAGCAAGAAAATCACTGCCACGGGCCCTGGACCGGGTGCATTGCACAATCAATGAGCATCAGGACCTTATGACACAATAAGAGACAAAGACAGACAGAGGGAGAGAGAGAGATCGACCGACTGAACAGACACATTGGAGTAAATGTTTTGAAAAGCCAACGAAAGGAATTGCTTCCAAGAATCCACAGCCTCAGTCGGCGTATCAATGTCCTTAGCCAGAAGAAATCAAAAAGTTGGATCACCTGGCCTTATCGAGTTGTCTGTCTGTCTGTCTACTTTGTCCACGATTATGTGCGGGTGCCGTTTAATCCTTACTGCTGCTACCTGTGGCCCTTTGTTCTCGCCAAATTGTGAATGACCCCGCAACGCGACGCCAACCCCCAAGGAAGCTTCTCTTCCTCTGAACCACCAGCCACTTGCCATCTGCCTTGATTCCCGACTCCAGAACACATTCGCGCAGGTTTCATGCCTATTCATGCTTCGTTATCCTGTCAATGCGTCGGCATTATGTCCATTGTGTGTCAGCGCGTTGTCGTCGCTATCCTAATACCCATCCTCCTGCAACGTATTCTCCTCTCTGTACACTGTTTTTTAGTAAACTGATTTTGGTATACACTAAGCGTGCTGTTTAGCCTATTAAATGTGTCTTCTAAATGAAGTGTGTAAATATTTTATAATTCTATTGCGGCGATTAAGGTCCACGAAGTGATTAGGAAACGGAAGCTATAAAATAAATGTGGTGCTAACAAGCAATATTTTATTATTGTAACTGAAGAAACTCCCTGGTATGAAATAAGAAAGAAACAAATGTTTAAATTTAAGAGGGGTTTTTAAATGAACTGGTAAGCCTAAGTTGAAATATTATAATAAGTTAAGGATAAGAAAAAATGTAACAGAAGCTTAGAGGTTTAATGGCCTTAATGGAGTGCCTTGTGTATGATTTCAACACAACATATTGTTGTTAATAGTGAAATCTAAAATGAAATAAAAACAGTTATCAATAAAATAAAATAAAGATGCAAATGCTATAATTTTCAGTTTATGGAGCTCACATTCTCAATAAATTCGCACATAAAACTTCCGCAGCTGATGCAATCAAAAGTCTAGTCAAACCCTAGCATTACGCCCATATTAACGGCATTTTTAACACCTTTTGGACAGCCAGAGCCCAGCAGCAGGATCTTAGACCAAAATCAAAAATCTTGGCAGCCGGCAAGAAAAAAATATCAAAAATACCCAAAACAAAAGTAAGTTGACGGAAAAAAACTCATTACACCGGTCGGGGCAGGCCCAACAATGCAAACGGAAAACTAAGGAAACTGCACAAGGATTGCATCTGCGTCGCTCAGGGCAGGCAGCACAAATCAGTTTCTGTCAACCGGGCGATGGTTACTCGGATGCCGATGCTTGGCTAATGCTGTTGAGGGTGTTGGCTTGCGCGTTGGTGGCTTCGCATTGACAGCTGCTCCTTTGGCGCGCCTCATGAGCAGCAGCAACAGCAACAGCAATAGCATCAGCATCTTGGCCAGGGTTTTTTGGCAAGACGTGCATCTGTTTGCACTAACAGAAATGGAGAGGTACATAGAGTGTGAAAGAGAGAAGGAAAGAGCTTGTTTCAGGACTCGGACGTTGACTTGCATCTGCGGGCGCACAATGAGCACACCGAGAATAATTCAAGCAAAAACGAACAAAACATCATGATCGTCATCAAAATAATCACAGTCAGAGCAGGAGCCGAACTCAGAAGCAGGGGAGCGTTCGCCTCTGCTACGGGCATGTGACAAACAATAGTGCACCACCATCAGCAGCGTCAGTACCGCCACTACCACCACCACCATCATCGCCTGCGCTTCCTTGCCAGTTTTTGGCGGCATGCCACCACCGCCGTCTTTATCGTTACCTGAGGCATGTCCTTTGTTGATGCTGGCCGCCTTTTGATTTTGCATTTGTTGAATTTCATATTCCCCGCCAGGGTAATGCAACCGCAATTGTTTTGCTCTGTTTTGTATTCTCGCGTTTTGGCATGTGCACAGCAATTCAATGGTAGGTAAATGAGTTCTGCTCTTGTTCAGGCTATGCAGATGCATTCCTTAAGATGGAACACAAATTGCATAACAGCAGCTGCTCCATCAGAATCTTTAGTTTGCCAAATATCCACAAAATGTTTGCAGGTGATAATTTGATGATTTTGGTTAAGAATTTTTCCATTATTTATTTTCGAAGTCGATTTAATTAATTAATAATTAAAATATTCAGCGAATATGTCAAGAAATAATACGAATCTGATTTTTTATATTATAAGCAGCCATTTCAGGATTTCCTTATACATTTTCAAATGTATTGAACAAATTATGTACGACATCAATAATGATAAATTTCTAATGATGTAAACAATTTATAAAAATCACATTCCCATTAAATAGCCAAATGAATTCGTGGGAAAACCGGCAACGTTGACCACAACAAACCCAAACAAATCCTTCGTAGAAATTGCCAATCCTTTGAATAGTTATCATAATGTGCCCACATTAACAAGACAAAATTTGGAAAGATTTATAAAAACATCGAAAAATGTAGATTTCATGAGAAATGCGCTGCTTTATAACAGAATATAACAATGAGCCCAGTTGACAAAGTCGCGTATTTACAATTACAAATTACACAACTTTATCGAGCATTCTCGCCGCCTGACAAATGATCAAATTGAATACACCGCCCCGCCTCCAAATACCCTTACCCTTGGACAATCAATAAACGTGCTAAAGTGAGAACAATCAATCCAATCCAGCACGTTCTAACGATTTACATGTCAACTTGACAGTCGACAGACAGGCAGACCTCTGAGTAGAACTGAGCTGAGACAATGGATCAGGGATTGGAGACTGGCGCTATAAATATATATACTGAACATATCAGACTGTGGCGAGTGTATGTGTGTGTGTGTGTGTGTATGTCCAGGTGCCCTTACGAGTTTCACTTTCATTTGTTAGTAGCATTTGACACCTTGTCGCATAGTCATTGCAAGTTGAGATACCCATCTAAGGACGGACAGTACCGAACCGAACCCTCAGTAACTATCTACATCAGTGCCTCATGTGCTGTGTAAACACAGTTGTGTCGGCTTTGCAAGTTTTTTATGTGTGTCCCTCCAACTCCGACCCGTCTTCGGTACCTCATCCAAAAATTTGATTATGCTCGCGTGATAATTATGCATGGCAACTTATGGGACAATCACATCGCAAGCTTCTCGACTGCGTCTACTATCGAGCGATGACAATCGGTCTCATTGTTTCCGTTTCCCACTATTCACCACAGTTATATGTATAAATTGCGTCTTTAGAAATGCCTGTCTGCCTGCCCTACGTCCCCACTCCAGCCCCTGCCCCACTGAACACCGGATCAACCTTCGATACAGCCATCCAGCTGCGTACCAGACCGTGCGGCTGGCACTAAATTTTATGGTTAACTACACTCAACGTTTCTGCTATTTAACCTTTTGTGCAACTCTTATCGAAGCTCTAACGAAACCCACCGAACAGATTCCCCAACCCCTTTCGCACTCCCGATCACCGAATACCCCACGTGCGGGCTTTGTTTGCCTCGGGACAACTGGCCCTGTTCTTTTAAAATATGATTCTGTGCATATGTAAGTGTTCCGATAATAAACCAGTAGCCGACCAGGTGGCAAAGAGGGTAGACTTTATTATAATATTTGAGATTCATACTAAAATCTAAAGAAAATCATTAATAATTGGATTACTTAAGCAAGTTTAAAATAAGAAGAAGTATTAAGAGATAAATTAAATGGGATATTAAGCAATTTGAGGCTTTTATTGATAGTTAACGCAATGATGCTTCCATTGTCACTGCAATTCTAGAAATTATTGAAATTCACATTAGCTTTACATTTAAATAAATAGATATACAAATTTGTCTCGGCTAGGCAGGCTCTGCGTTATTACCCTTTGTAGTTGTATTTTCATTATATATGCATGTTCTGCTTGGAAGTCTTTAAAAATTTTATAAACACGAACAATCGTAAAATTGCATAAATTTAGTTTTGCTTCAGCTTTCGACATTGATTTAACAATAGAAATAAAGTTTTGGCAATTAGAATATGGAAGAATATTCCCGTGAGCCGTGCCCGTATCGCATTATGGATGACTCCGGTGGTGCCTTTGCCATGGGCTCCATTGGTGGCGGCATCTTTCAGGCAATGAAGGGTTTCCGGAATGCACCGCAGGGATTGAGTCGCCGCCTCATGGGGAGCATAACAGCTGTGAAGGCGCGCTCACCGGTGATTGCCGGCAACTTTGCTGCCTGGGGCAGTTTGTTCAGCACCATTGACTGCACCCTGGTGCACTTCAGGCAGAAGGAGGATCCATGGAACTCGATCATCAGTGGAGCCGCTACCAGTGGCATTCTTGCGGCACGCAATGGTCTAGCCTCTATGGCGGGAAGTGCAATCGTTGGTGGGATATTGCTATCCTTGATTGAGGGCGTTGGCATACTCATGACCCGCTTCTCTGCCGATCAGTTTCGCAATTCGGCACCACCCCTTGATTCACATGATGACATGGAATCGGATTCATCTAAGCGATTTGGTTTTGGTTCAGGAACTCCAAATGTTAATTAATAAATTCGATTTGTTTATAAACTGATCAATTAGTTTAGGCCCATCTGGTTCGGAATGAAAACGAGACTAAATTATTGTCCGTTGGCAATGATGGTGATTATGCAAAAGCCTTGCAGATTAAGCAAATGGCGCAGGATTTCTTCAGTTACTACTAATAATAATGTTATAAATAATGATTGTGTCTAGTGCTTTTAATGAGAACATTCTTTTCCAACGATCAAATCTCAATTCGATCATTTTTGGCTCCGAAGTTTTCGTAACTTTCTAATGCAATTAGTTGTAATCATTATGACCTTTAAGGCTTACTTTGGCAGGTAGTTGTGATCTGGAGACACACACACACACAGAATACACTTGACACGTGTCAAAGGTAACCACAGTCTGCATATTATATTGGCAAATGTTTACCTGTTGCTGTCGTCGTGTTTACCTGTTAGGAAGAGTCTGCGTCTGCGCCGGCGCATAGAGTCAAGTGCCGCTCATTGGCCCGCTGGTCAGGGGTGTGGCAAGTCCTTTACAACCTGTGCACTTGAGATGACCACAGTTGAGAGATGTGTGCTGAGGAGCGAGTCTAATAATGATCACAGCAACACGGCTACTGGCCACGTGTTGGCCTCAGTCTGTCGGTCTCTGTCGCCGTCTCAGGTACACTTCGAGTCACAGTTTTCCCAGGGGCTGTGCAAAAAACCAATTGCAAGGATTTCCCTCACACATGGGCAAACGGTGGGAAAAAGTCGTTTTTGTGCCAACCCAGTTATAAAATATCGCTCTTTATGATAATTTTGGCAATATCGACAGAGGAAATACCATATGGAATTTTTTGAACAACGGTCTAGACAGCTTGGTGCCCGCCTGTGGGAAGATCCTATAGCACGAACCAATGTGCCCAACTGTGGGTCGGAGCCCAAACGGGACCAACATATGCAACTGTGACTTGTGTGTTTTTTCTTTCGATTCTTTTCTTTTCCCTGACAGGCGCCGGTACTCTCGTAATGTGTGAATTTTGTTCCTTGAGAAATCCCTCGGATGTGGTACACGCCTGGACATGGCCGGCGCTACGGGAAAGCACAAAACAAAATTACCTTAGGAATTCACATCATCATGTGGCAGAATAGCAACAACAACTGCAACAGCAACAACACCAACAATTGCCGATCGCACCTACGCTTGTGGTACGTGCTTTAACTAGTTCCTCAACTTGGATTCTCACATATGTCCATGTTGCATTCCCAGCACATGCCCTACGCCCTGCCGCGTCCCATTTGTTTTCCCAATTCCCAATTATCTCAGCATACGTTGCCAAAAAGGTAGAGGCGCTAAAATTTGTTTAGCGAGGCTCTGCTGGAGTTTCTATTTGTTGGAAACTTGGTTTTTGGCATGCATCAGCCATGGGAACCAACCAGCCTGAGAAGTCGAAGGTGAGCAAGGCCGGAACAAGGGTACACTAAATGTACTACATATATAAACAGTGAGTCCATCTAAGATAAATTCCTAAAGTAAACCCTACGTAAATATTTTTCATTTACTTCTTTTGTTTGCTTACTCAATTTTGAAATTATTTGGGATTTTAAAAAATTTAATTATAATATTTGTTTTTTATGTTTGAAAACATATTTTACAAATAGGCTACAAAAAAGTAAAGGCATAAAATAGGATTCGTTCTCAAGTTCTTCGACTATTAAATATATTTTCTGCCAGTATGAAAATCAATAAAAATAAAGGTTATAAATTTAAGAGTTAACTAATAGAGAAATTCAAAATTTATAATGTATAATTAAAAAATAAGTTATCAAACAATAAGCAACTAAACGAGGATCTGTAATAATAGTTATACACTCATAGCTCTTGATATCGACTTGACCCTATCGACATTCTAGAATGTACATTATAGACTCTTAGATCTTAACCTTTCTAAGCCATTTCTTATATACACAGACTATGTGTTTCTACATATGGGTTCTCAAAACTTTACTAGGCTTATCAGTGTTGGAGATTGCTCGGCATCCTTTGGGCATCTCACACCTACGCCAACGCCTGTTTGAGCAGGCTCAAACTGACAGACAGGACACACATGCTGGGCATATGTTTGGGCCAGTTAACAAAGCAACTGGCAGAAAATAACACATTGAGGATGATGGAACAGGGACTGAGAATGGGAATAGCACTGGGACTGTGAAATGGTAAATGATTTTTGCATGCTGTGCCCGCATGGCGCTAAATCTGAGCCAAAGACTAGAAATTGTTTTAGTTTTCCTACCACGAATACAATTTGTGCAGAGAGATTGCACATACACAGAAGCAATAACTTGATGACTGTGAATGAGAGAGCTGGCAGCAAGCCTTGGCACATGTCAATGTCAAACATTGAACCGATGCGCATTAAAGGAATTTTGCCGACTTGATGGCACCTTTCGATGTGACTTGCATTAGAATTGTGTTTGCATTTGATCGCATTTCGTATGCTGCGAGATCGGCGCCAAATATCTCATGCATATATGACACACATTTCGAATCGCTTTAGTGAGATCTGAGCTCTAAGATCTGTGGGAGCTCTGCAAGCGAAATGCATTTATTATTTATATTTGGGGATCTTAGAATATCTTAGGTGCTTAGCGCATAAATTAAATTGACAACTCCCCAAAACAGTCGGTCAGCCGAAGTTCAAGGTGTTCTCGCCTGATTCGAGCTGGCTTTTTTGATAGTGGGGTGACTACAGTGTACAACATGGACTGGCCCTGAAATAGCGCCTGGTGCAATGCACCCTATCCGAGAGATTTCTTTTAGTGATGATATTGCAATAGTTTTGCGGCGCAATGACTTTTTGTGACAAAATACTCGTCCGCATGCCAATTTTACATTTGCATACCGCATGTCGCATCGATAATCGTTTCTCAATTTTAGATATGCATGCAATGTGCGATCTAAATGCTATTTGGGTTTTTCCTTCCTTTTTTGAAGCTGATGAAATCATCTGTATTGCTATCAAAGATTGGACAGCAGCATGACCTTAGCCCAATATTTACAGCCAACATTTGTGTGGCCAGTTCTTTTGAACTCATCAATATAACATTATTTCCACCGAAATCCGAGCGTGTAGCATGATACGATGCACATTCGATGCATATCTGATGTTAAATACTCACCGAAGAGTGTCAAGCTCAAGTTGAAGTAGGTTTAAAAAAATAAATACATTTAATTTCAAGAAAAGCTGAATCAAATTAAGGACAAGTAATCCCATGCAAAATAATTACGAATAAATTGTAATATAAATTCAAACACATAATATTGAAAGTCAAAATTGGCAATCTTTATAAAAATAACAAAATCGCTGACAAACAAATCTTTAAGCAGTACTTTATTTTAAGGCGCTGACAAGTTTAGATAAGGTCAATTAATCTTAATCTTTTCATTGGCTTTGAGGTCTGTTTGATTCGTTTTGAAAGACAAAGTTGAATGGCCGAGCTTAATCAAATTTGAAAGTCGGCATTCATCATGCAAGTTGAACTTTCGTAAATGCATTTCTTGAAGACAATCCGTTGATGTCTTCCCATTGCTCATCAAGCACACTTTGTCTCTAGTCACAATAGAGTCCACAATCTACAGCCAGTCTCGCCATGAACCTGATACTGAGATATTGGATACTATTGACTGTAAGACAGTGAGCGCAAATCCGTTACAAACTCGTGAACTCTCGGCTGCCACAAGACACAGATCCTGCAGCGGGCGAGATGGAGAAAAGTTCGTGACATGGCATCAACAGTTTGTCATTAAACATTTCGACAATAATTTGCTTTGTGCTCGTATTTATATGCACACTTAAACGTATTTTTTTGTCGTATTGTTGTTGTATTTTTTATTCGCATTTTATGCGCTGACTTCCCGAATTGTAACCGTAGACAGTGGCAGAAGTAGGGGCCGAAGACAGAGACAGAGACAGAAGCAGAGACAGAAGCAGTGGCAGAGCGGGCAGAGTCGAGAAGTCAGTTGAAATTGTTATGGCAGGTAATTTACATAAAAGATAAGTGGAATGCGAAGAGGTACGAAGAGTCGGAGCACTCACTACTTACAATTCTGATTAGCCAGTGAGACCTGCCTATCTCTATTGTGGAAAACCTCGCCACGAAATGCGCCTTTTGTTATTGTAAATACACTTTGTGACTTTTGGGGGCTTTTGTGCCTGTCTGTGATAGTTTTTTTTTTCTCGTTTTTTTTTTTTTTTGAAACTGCTGCTCAGACTTCCTAAAGGTATTAAAAATATTAAAATAGTAGCTAGGGCATATATACAACTTGAATATTTAGCTACTTGTTTGCTGTTTCAATTGTTATGGTAATTCGGTTTAGCTCAGGTTGCGTATACGACGTGTGTGCGCATAACACGTGTGAGCTCTTGACAGCTCCCCCAATATCTCCCTGCTAGACAATAGAGGTTGTTTGTTGCTGCTGCTGTTGAACTGTGGCCAGTGGCAGGCAAACAGACAGGCAGACAGGCATTCTGACTGGCAGTTAGGCAGTTAGGCAGCCAGGCGTCGGGCCCTGACCCGCTTAGTTAGCGTTATCTGCATCGCTCATAGTCTGCGCCAATAAAACAAATTAAAGTCAACAATTGACGGCAGTTAGGACCTGAAGCTACTCGCCTTGAATACCGCCAACTGAGCAGACTAAAAACCAACCAAAAACTAGACTCAACCGCACTCTGTGATCGTCTGTTCAATTGGGCCTCTCTTTGGAGGCCTCGGATATTATTTGTATTGCCATGCAATGGGTCGACTTTGGCCTGGCTGCCAGCAGCCCGCCATTGTCTTATCAGCGACCCCATCGATTTGGCAGTGGTTAGTGAAGGGGGAGGAGAGGGTTGGGGGCGTCGCATTTGGCAATAATATTTTGTTGCTGCAATTGTTTGGCCTGTGCGCTTGGAAATTGCATTTGCATTTGCGTTTTACTGCCCCGACAGTGAATAATTTGCCATTTGGGTTCGTTTTGCGTTAGCTCAACGTCCATTTGCCGTTTAATTCGCCTTAATGACTTTGAAAAGCGCAAATCAAAACGCTTCCAGCCCTTGCCACATGAAAATTTCGGACGAAAAACGACTAAAACCAAGAAGCAGCTGCAGTTGCAACAATGTTTCAAGTGCTTAACAAAAGTAATCGGCAGCAAATTGAGGTTGAAGAATACATTT